GTCTTTGCTAGTAAAACAAACTTATGAAGACTCAAGAGCTTTAATAATATAAGTATATAGTAAATGTAAATAGATTATAATAATATAATTATTGCTCTTCCATTGTTGCAGATGGCAGCACTTTATTCTACTGACCCGTTAGGTCTGCATCTCACCCTGGACTACTGGTATCCCACGGATGCTATCACAGGCGGTGTGCCTGCCAGCAGCAATATCTATCAGCGGCCACCACAGCGACAGGTGGGTGACCGACCACTCATCGCTGTTTGCTCCGAAACATTTTGTCTACGAGAAAAATACTTCTGGAAAATGGAGATTCTATATCATTGTTACAATCATATTGTTTCGTTATCTGGTGCTTTGTGCCATGCATCATCCAAGCCAGAATTATGTTACGTAATGCATTAATTCCCTAACGGAATTAAGGCTATGGGAGGCTATATGTTTTATTTCGTACTTACATGTGTGTTCAAATGCAGTATAATGTTGAATTAAAAATTGGAAATGCATGAACGTGTAAACTATTACTTAGTAGGAAAGAAACTAGTTAACTTACTTACTTAAACTTACTTAATAGACCAGAGAACATTCTAATAAGATACAAAAAATCCTTTGTGAAATTGTCTAGAATGACCATCACATGTAAGCCCTCATATCAGCTCTCTATCTCTCTTCGTCTCGTCTCTACAGGCAAGTTTGTTCAAGTTTGTGAGGATGGCCGGTGACTTGTTGCCACCCTCGCTGTACATTCCTTACATTGAGATGCTCACAAGTCTCGCCACCGACCAAGCGTCTGCCCAGCACTGCTTCAATCTTCTAAAGAGCAATGGCGTCAATGCGGGTAAGCTATACTGGAACTATAAGTTATGCTGGAGGCCACACCTCTACCTTTTTTCAATAGCGGCGAGGATTGGTACGTCTTGGCATAATTTAATTTAACGGGTTTCATTATTAATATTAAAATGTTTAATTTTGTGGGATGTCTATTCTTTGTTACTAGCATTGTACTCATGTGTGCAAAGTTAAATTGCATGTGTATAAGTCAAGTTAAATACCTGTGAAGGCACTAATGTGTTTTAAGTTTTAGCTGTTTTACATCACGCTATCGCTAAGCGCCACCAATGATCTCATTTTACATCTCAAGTTTCATCAGCCCTGCGTGGTACAAAAACAGCATGAATATCTGTACAGTGTTCGTGTCTGTTGTATGTTGTATACATTATACATTTATTATACATTGAATACATCGACATACATACGTGCTTGAATTTACGTACTTGAATACGAAGTCATTGAATTTATTGTACATTGAATACATCGACATATGTACGTACTTGAATTTACGTACTTGAATATGACGTCATTGAATTTTTTATTGTACATTGTAATTTGTATAGTAAATACAACTTGTACATTATACTTGTACACATTCTCTTGGCACGTTGGCAGGTGGTCAGTACAGCACGATATCTTGGGATCACTTCTTTCACTCGATCACGCAATACTATAGCAACCTGAGACAGGAGACCCCTGCTAGCAGCTATCAGCATCTCTACTGGCAGAAGCCTCATTCTCGAGGCATAACGCCTCAGGAGCTCGAGGGCCTTCACTCCGTACTTAAACTCATCAGGAAGGTTTCAGAGGAGGTAAGCGAGCGCTCACAGTTTGTGCGGATGCGTGGTAACTTATAATATATCAGAAGTAACGATCCCTGATGTCTGGCGAAGTGCGGTGATGTCTGCTGATACTAATTAAAAATTCATCGCTGTGATTTTGTTGATATTACACAGTAAGTGTTTAACATAGATTCAGTCAGTGTTAAAATTAACGTTTTTTTGTTTATAATCAAAATAATATGATATATAATAAGAATAAATCATCTAAATACTGACAAAAAAACGACAAGATCATTTGTAAAAATGACAAGATACTTTCGTGCATGACTCACGATGTCGTCGTTGCGTACGTAGGAAAATGTAATAGAACCAACTAGATTTTTTTTTAAATTGGCAAGATACTTTTGTGCGCATCTCACGATGTTGTCGTTGTAGGATGAGGTGGCACGCCTCTCTCTGTGTGAGAACCAGCAGTACCTCCCCATCGTTCTCCTCCTCGGCATGGTCACATGCAGCGTGCCAGCCTCCCTCAAGGGAGAGTTCCTTGACGTGCTCGCCGCCTTCGCTCGCTCACCAGAAGTCGCCATCAACCTGTGGCAGTCGCTGGAGGTGTCGTCCATCTTGCAGACGGTGAAACCGATGTCTGTGTCGGCCACCAACACTGGCAGTGGTATCCAGGTACGGTACTGTGACGTTATCATCACACTACGCATATGTCATCAGTAGGGTGAAGCGACTGACGATGAAACCCAGGGCTCTCTCTCTGGATATTTTAGAGTTTGAGCTAAGACATGAGCGATCAAAGTTAGTTTTTAGGCACCAATGAAAAACTATACCCACTGTTCACTTTATCAGATGTGCTAAGCAAGGCATAAACAGGTGATGGGTATAGGAAAAGAGGTGTTCAAAGACATTTTTAATAAAGTAATCGAGTGGAATCCAGGTGCGGTGTGGGTGAAACGACTGATGATGAAACTTGCTATTTAAACGTCGCTCGCTGATACAAACGAAAATATCGTTTTGCGTAGCTGCACTGTATGCCTCTGGGTCTCATGAGATAAATGAACTATGCTCTCGAGTGTGATATTAAGCCCGTTCCCCGAGACGTTCCTTCTAGATTAATCAAGCTAGACCAGTATAAACACGTTTGCCGTCAAGTTTCACAGTATAACTGCCACTCAACGGAAATGCCAAATGCGTTCCTGATATAGACAAGTGTCAGTTGTGCAGGGTTGTCTGCTAACAAAAACTTGCCACTAACACAGGTTTATTTTCTGCCATATATTATTATCCACATACCATTTATTCATTATACCGTCTGTACTCAATATCGTCTTCGCGTTATGTAATAATTTGTCAAATCGTTCTGTGAAGGCCGCCGAGTTTATAGGGATGTCCGCTAACAGGAACTATCCACTAACACAGGTCTTTACCATCTGTACTGACAATACTGTTTATGGTATGTTACTGGAGTTATATGATAACTAGTCGGATCATTCTACGCAGGCGGACGTGGATGAGGTGGAGGCGAGGAATGAGGAATTCCCGATGACTCGTGGTTTCCTCGCGCTGCTTGATTCGCTCACTAACATCCCCGTGCCCGAGGGACTCGGCGCCGGTTACCGCGCTCCGGGGTTCGACCCCTACATGACCTTCATCAGAGACACGGTGTTCCTCAAGTTTAACACGAGAGCATACAAGAATCCTGCAGAAAAGGTTCGTTCGACATACAATATGTTGCATTCCCTCTTTGATAAACAGCAATGTTCTAGTTGTCATTCCCAGTAAATAATTTGGAGATTTCTAGAGAGTTGTTTCATATGATATCGTGAAATCTCAAGATATCATTCTAAAAAAGAAACAGTGTTTACTTGTCATTCCAAGTAAAGTCGTTGCAGGACTAAATGTTCCCTTATCTGTATCTGTTTGCAGCCGTGCAAACTCAAACCATCACAACTATATCACATATATGTTGTGTCACCACTTTGGTACCAGCATATCGTTCAACGATGTTGTTTCAAAGATGTTTTCATATATCTCTCTGTGTATGTGTATATGTAAGCTAAACTCAAATTAAGTATAACCAATATAAATAACCAATAATATGATAATTAAATGATGATATATAATAAAATACGATAATATAATATAATAAGGTGAATACTCCCCACCCAAATAAATGTTCCTGACTCGTGGCGACATGTTGTGTGACTACTCTCATCAGTAGCCTCTCTCTCGCTCTGTGCGTGTGTTTATAGTGGGACATAGCAGCCATGTGTCTGGATATGTTCTACAAGCTTCTGCGTGGGCACGAGGTGGTGCTGGAGGACTTTAGTGACGAGCACGTGGAGCTGCAGGGAGGCGGAGTGACGGTGGCAAACAAACCTCCCGGTCACAACATCCTCATACACATGCTGTCGGACGGAGCCTTGCTCAGGATGGTGTGTAGTCTATATATGTAACGGCAGATGTCGGGTTGAAATTTAGCAGGTAATTTAGGGGAAGGCAAGCGTTGCCTTTGGTTTAATCAGATATTTTAGGGGGCCGCAGCGAGCCTGAGGCAAATTGGCAATCACGCATAATTCTTGTACTTGCACAGTAACGCAAGTATGGAGTTTGCCCCACCTTTAAAAAATTACCCCTTATTGTCTGATTATAACCTATTGTAACCTGAACCTTCAGTTCGACGAGTATTTCTGTCTTGCAGGTGTTCTTCATCATAGACGAGGGAGTGCGCTTGTTGGACGAGTATCGCGACTTCGCGGGCAAGTCTAGCCTCGAGCGCTGCGCCTTGCTGTGTCTGCGGCTGCTGCAGGCCACGCTGGAAAGGCAGGGGGAGTTTCTTGATGCACTGAGGGAGAGCGGCGTCGCGCTGATGGTGACGCCGCTGGAGAGGCTGCTAGCGGGCATCAACGTGCGCACGGGCCGCGCCGACAACCTAGTCAGCATCACCAAGTATGTCACCGGCCAGCTGCCCTCCTTCCAGATTCAGATTCTTTATTTAGTACATAAGTTACAATACAGCAGGTGTATGATAGGTGTAACGTGAGAGTATAAATATAAATGAATAGTGAATTTACTAACAAATGAAGGCTGTGAGGGTCAAAGTAGCACTAGGCTATCGAGTCGACCCCCATTCCTGCCCCCCTGCATTAAATTTAAGCGGGTTTGGCTTAGGTTTAACTTCATATAATTTAAAATGTCTGATCAAAACCTTAACCTACTGAAAACTCTACAAAAATCTTGATTATGCATGAGGAGGTTTCTTTTTTCTAACGTCGACATGAAAAAATCGTGTCGTGTTAAAACCTTAAATCGTGGCATGTAAATGTGAATGTGTGTTGCATCTACGGAATGTGATCTACATTTTACAGGTACGTGACGTACAGCTCCTGGATTCCTGCTCATGCTCTAGCCAGCATCAACATCCTGAATCTTGTTGCTCAAGCAACAGGGTCCTCATCAGAGCTTGTCGGCCTCATGATGGTCAGAGGTGCTGTATGGAGAAGAGAGAATGAGGAGGAAGAGAAGAGAGAGAGAAGAGAGAGAGAAGAGAAGAGAGAGAGCGAGGAGAGTAGAGAGAGAGCGACGGGAGCTGATTGCGACGAGCGATCCTGAGAGAGAGAGAGAGAGAAGAAGAGAGAGAGAAGCATAGAGAGAGAGAGAAGAGAAGAGAGATAGAGAGAAGAGAGAGATAGAGAGAGAGAGAGAGAGAGAAAGAGAAGATAGAGAGATAAGAGAGAGATGAGAGAAGAGAGCCGAAGAGGAGGGATGAGGGAGAGAGAAGGGCGAGAGAGTAAAAGAGAGGGATAGAGAGAGAGAGAGAGTAGAGAGAGAAGAGAAGAGAGAGAGAAGAGAGAGGTGAGCGAGGGAGTAGGAGGGAGGGGAGAGTGTGAGAGGAGGGAGGAGGGAGGGAGGAGTGAGGGAGAGGGAAGGAGGTGGAGAGGGAGGGAACGGTGTAGGAGTCGGGAAAAGAGGAGAGAGGAAGAAAGAAGAGAAGGGGAGGAAGGAGAGAGGTGAGGGAGGAGGGAGGGAGGGAGGGAGCAGGAGAGGGGAGGAGAGGGAGGGCGAGGTGAGTGAAGGGCAGGAGAGATAGAGAGAAGCGCGTACGAGAAGAGAAGAGAGGGGGAGGATGTGATGGAGGACCAGGAGGGAGGGAGGGAGTGGAAGTGAGGGAGACAGTGGAGGGAGGAGCGACGGACGAGGAGGGAAAGAGAGAGTAGAGAGACGAAATATAGAAATAGAGAGCAGAGAGCAGAGAGAGAGAGAGAGAGAAGAAGAGAAGAGAGTGACGAACGAGAGCGAAGCAGAGCGTGAGAAATCGTGCGATGAGATAGATAGAAGATGATCGAGAACGGGCGTAGGAGAGAGAGAGATAGACGAGAGAGAGAAGAGAGAGAGAAGAGAGAGGCGAGAGATGAGAGAGACAATATGGAAAGAAGGAGTTTGGATATGGATATATATGAATAAGGTATCATACAATTATAGTGAGTGCAAGACTTTAACATTCATTACCCAATCGTTTGTGTGTATGTAGGATATGACTGTGGAGCTCAGGCATGGCTTCGTCGAATGCCTAGAGATAGATGATTGTGAAGACAACACATGGCTCATCAGAACTCCAACAGGTAGTGACTGTCACGATCATCCGACTCAATACTCGATCAACTTCGGTTGACACATGGCTCGAACCCAAGCGCTGGTTATCAACTCCATAATCGATTTCTATCGGGGACAACAAAAACATCTTTTCTTTTTTAAACTTGAACAAGAAGCCTTGGAAAATGATAAAATCAGAGATATCATGCTACTCATACAATTTCCTTTATTAACATGACATGTATTAACACCACTACATAGTAAACAGTCAAAACAAACAGTAAACAAGGGCTAAACAAGCACATACATGCACACACTACATGCACACACGACGTTGCGCACGACCAGGCATTCAACACCCCGAGTAACCGATGTAACCGATCATTCGATTACTTGGGTCCAACCGATGATCGATTACGAAATTACAACCGATTGACAACACTACTCAAAGGTAATTGTGATAATAGATCCCCTTTGTTTTTAATTGGTACATCCACGGAGCAGAAGTCACAGAGTGGAGCCACTCGTGTAAAATGTACACCTGTCTACGAAAAAATAATTTACGTTTCCCTCGAGTGACTCAATTACGAATTTAACTATATGTGTAGTATTAATATTATTAAATTATTTTAGTATTAAAAATAATTACTATATTATATTATAAAAAATATATTACTATATTATTATTATATTAAATATTTCTATTTTATTTTTATTATTTTGGTAGTATATTTAATCAGCAATGAAAGTCAGGGGTAAGACGATAATGCAGATTGCGGTTGCGTTTTTCTGTTTTGTAGCAGATTTAAGTGTTTGCTGTGTTTGTTGTCGGCAGCGGCGGAGCTGAGTGAGAGTCACATCAGGAACCTGACGCGTCAGAGTGCTCTGCGTCTTATTCTGCTCACACTGGAACATCCTGCGCCAAATCTCGCTCACCTGCTGTTAGGTTATGAACTCAGGAAGCCAGTGAGCAGTTCTATCTTGCAGGATCCAGGTATGTATCTCATCTTCCATCTTGTAGGATCCAGGTAGGCGCAGCAGTCAGTGTTAGCGTACTACGCCTCGAATCTCGCAACGCGGCCACCCGTGGCATTGATTCTCTCCTTGCTAGCCATGGTGTCCGTGAAAATGGGACGACATTCACGGCAGTTAATTGTCGTGGGTGCCCTAGCTGATGTGCACCTGTGCTCTTCCTGTAAATTTTGCGTTTTGTATGTATCCCTGTTTTTTTTACCATGAAAATCATTGTTAAAATATGCCTCGATAAGGGAAATTGATAAAAGCGATGTTAGCCTTGGCTAAAAAATTTTGATTAAACGGAAGGCAACGCAGAGAGCGTTGCCCTAAAATAATTTGAAATTTTACCCCTGGTATACTCAAATGTATTTATTGGTTAGCTAAATATAAGTATATATATATATATATGTTGTGTGTGTGTGTGTGTGTGTGGCAGGTGTGCTGGGGTCGCCTCGCACATGTCTACACGCCATGCTGGCGCTGCTAGACCGTGGCCTCGGCCCCGTGTGTGTGTGTGTGTGTGGCAGGTGTGCTGGGGTCGCCTCGCACATGTCTACACGCCATGCTGGCGCTGCTAGACCGTGGCCTCGGCCCCAACGCCCCGCCCGGCTGCCTCTACGACACGCCCGTGCTAGCCGAGCTCGCATACTCTCTCATCTACGCGCTCTGCTCGAACAAGGACACGTGGAACCCGACGCTCCGCTACCTACGGTCGGCCAACGACTTTCTCTACACGCAGCTGCAGAGTCTGCCGTTCAAGGGTGTGTACTCATGTTCGTTTGTTGTTCTCTGTTAAACAAGGTTCTGTCGTTTGTTATTGCCATTACAAGGGTACGCGTGTTCGTGTGTTGCTCTGTTAGACAAGGTTGGAGCGATTGGCTTCTTTATTTGATGTAGGCAGAGCTGAAATGGGTTTAAAAGAAGAAGTCTTTCGTTTAAGGGTGGGTATTCGTTTGTATGTTACACCCTTGAACAAGGTTCTTCGTTGTGATTGGCTTCAGTTGATGTAGGCAGAGCTGAAATGTGGTTTGAGTGCAATGTTGTGGAGACTGCTGCTCTATAAATGGAGACAGGGAGAAAAAATGGATTTGCACTGGTGGTGATTTCGTTATTAATATATAAAGTGTGATCACCATGCGCTTGTACTGATTCGGGATGCAAGATTGTTCGAACCTTGCATTGTAGCTACTACTAAAAGCATAGAAGTTCCAAACAGGCACCAGCATCACCAGTTGTGTATAGGAATCATTCATTGCATGCAGTGTCACTAGGAATGTGTAACACGTGTAACACGTACTATAATATGTGTGTAATATATATATGTACGCCATGTAAATGTAATATGTTTATCCTATATATGTAAAACATGTTATTTAAATGGAAGCATTTTTTGCTCTGATAACAGGTGAACAGTACTTGTGCCATCAGTCATGGCTGCTGAAGTGCATAGCCATAGAACTGCGGGTGACAGCAGCCAATAGACAGACTTCCTACGTGCAGCGAATGGTCTCTCTTCTATTGGATGATGCACCCACGACACTCCAGAAAGGTAAGGTGTTTCTAAGTGCAGATATCGTGGTTCGAATTAGGAAACAAGCAAAACGTAATTGCATTGTGATCTTGGTATTTTTAAAGCATTAAATTCACTTTAAAATTTTTTTTCGAATTCAATATGCTAGAGCAAACGTTTCAACAGGTGACCTGCTATTTTTCTTAAGATGTACATTTTTTTGATGATTCTTGAAATCAATTAGTTTTGCATGACAAAGTATGAAAGAATCCTGTAAACATTACACATTTAAAGTTTATTTAATACTTTTCATTATTTCTTAGTTTGTAAAAAAAAATATCTACTATATATATAATAAGTTTTTGGTATATATATGATAATTGTAGTTAATATAATAATAATAATATTCTATAATAACCACCGTATCTTCGTGGACAGGTATAATGTATTCTATGTTCAGGCTATATGTAGTAATATTTACTGCTTGTGTTCCGTGTAGGTGTGAGACCTGAGGGTGTGCTTGATTCGGACACCCTGCTCTATGAGTCTGATACGACTCTCTTCCCATTCGCCACATCTCGTTCCGGGCCGTCAATCACAAGTACGTGCGCCGCGTCAACGCCACCTAGGGCATCTTTTTGATGTTGAACTACTCACTGTTTGGCTGGGTGCTGAAGCAGTTGCATTTTTTTGTTTCTGCATGCATTTATGGAGCCTTTCTATATAGAATGTTCTGTTACTTAAAGGCTCACAATGCGCATCCAAACGCTAATTTCTCCAGTAGGCCCCCTACTAGACTAGCAAATACTTTGTGTCATGCATATAATCACACTACATTATGACAAAATAAACTCTAGTTCCTCCC